AGGGTATATTCCCAGTAGTGGAATTGCTGGGTCAAATGGTATCTCTATTTGCAACTTTTTGAGAAAGCGCCACTTGGCTTTCCACAGTGGTTTGTGGGAATTTTTAAACAAGAGAGAGAGAGAGAGAGACAAAAAAGAAAATGTTTTCTCTGGCATCTAGAGAATTAAAATGATTAAGATTAAAAAAGAGATTAAGGTGGATTTTACACTTAAAAGGGGGTAGGAGCAATGAATGGAAGTTCATTAAAAACAGGTTAAACAAAACGGATTTATTTTTGCAAATAAATAACTTTTAATAATGGTATCCTTTGTAAGAGATGTGAAGGAGAGGGGAGTGCAAAAATATTTTTAAAAAATCAATCAACACACCCTTATCATGTTTATTAAAAATGTGCTTTATCTCTGTCTTTGGAGTGTCCTCCTTATCCAGCAGCCTGGCTGCCCCAAAGCTCCAATTGTCCCTTCTCCTTTCCCTTTCTACTGTTCAAATAAAGCTTCTCCCTAAACAAAACAACACAACTCTCTATATACACAGTCAAAGGAAAACCCAACAAAGACATTGAAAAAGAAACAGTGATGCCTCCAGCATGACTGGGGCTCTGGTTGTGAAGGCTGTTGGAAGGAGTCACTCTGCTCATCTAAAGGTCACGCCTCTCTGGTGGCCAGAATCGAACAGTGGAAGAACGCTGGACAATCCAATCTCCTCTCGCCTGATTTACAGCCTCAGACACCCAGGGTCAGCTCTGAGTGGGCTCCGACTCAACAATGCTGTGTTTGAGTTTGGGTCTGGAATGATTGGTATACCATTTCTAGTGATTCTCTGTCCTGTGTTTGGCTTCTCACTCTGGATTCATAAACTGGATTGAATATGGTAGCCCTAATTACTTGAATTAAGATAACAATGCATTGAAGCTTCTTAGCAAAATGAGCACTGCAAACATCGCTCACTTTCCAACCTACTTCCATCCTCCACATAATCTCCGCTCTACCACAGGCAGCCCATTTATCGTGTCAGCTGTTCATCTAATGTATTACTTCTCAGAAGTTCGTTATCCAGCAAACCTAGGTAAGTATCAACAAGTCACTGTTCTACAAGTTTCCTTCCTGCTCCATCAGCCTCAGTCTTCTCTGCCCCTCCATGTATTCTCTCTGCCTGGCACTGAGGAGGAACATTCCTGTTTTCTCACAGACACTGGTAATGAACAGGAAGAGGGGACCAAAGGCCTTTCCCCTTGCTGCTGCTGGTGGCTCCTCCCAAGGATAGCTTGTTTCACTCTTGTGTTCATCTCTGTTTCTGTCACCCCTAGGCCAAAACTAAGTCAGCCCTTTTCTCTGTAGCATCCCCTTATGGTTTGAAAACTCACATTCTTTGTTTGAAACCATCCAAAGATGTGGAGAGAAACAGACACTGGGATGTAGTTAAGATTTCACAGTGCGTTACCATTCCTTTCAATAAGCCCTTTGGGGGGAGGAGGAAATCTGGAAATCTGAAGCCTGAGTCATACTTCTGAAGATCTCGTGTGTGTGTGTGTGTGTGTGTGTGTGTGTGTGTGTGTGTGTGTGTGTGTTGTGTGTTTACACTTGCCTTTATACAACACAGGCTCATGGTTAGTTTTAGAATCCATTCATTCTTTCAACAAACCACTTTGTGCATCTTTAAGTATATGATTCATGCTGTGTGACTGGTGATGAACTTGACCCTGACAGCTTCTAGTTCATGCAGGAAGTCTGACAAGAAATACTGCACACACAAAAAATGTTATTCTGAAAAAAACAAACAAACAGTAGTGGCCTGCATCTTTTAAATGTAAAAGCTTCCTGTATCTCCGCTGACTAAGTTTTGCATGCACCCAAGTTTCTTAACTCTCGAAGAAGAGTGCCTTTTCCCCACTTGTGCTATGCAGTCTACAAAATTATTACTACTACTCTTGATATTATCATTAATGTTCATCACATCACCTTTACCGACTTGTTCTAAAGCCAAGTCTCAAATAAAAACTCAGTTTCTTTTGACCTTAGATCTATTTCCCTCCTCTCTGATTTAACCCTGTTTAGGACTCAGTGAAATGACGTGGGCCCCCGGATGCAGGGCCAGAGCCTTGTCCTCTGGAGTGACCGTACAGCTCTAGCATTCTTCCAGCTCAGGAACAAGGCCAGGTGGACAAAGGGACTGGATTCAGCCCTCAGCCCCATGCTACTGTTTGACAATTCGAACCAGGGCGCAGCTGTGACAATGGGTCACCTATATGCATCGCTTCCCAAGCTCAGAGATGGGGAAGGAAAATAGCTAACCCATGATGCTCAATTTCCCCCATTAACTGTTAGCTTCCTTTTTAAAACTGGGTCTTTAAACATAAGTGCCTCTGGGCATCAAAGGATGCTGGGTCTGCTTGCTGAGTCGGCCTGCATAGAGCCCAGCCAGACGAGCCACATGGGAGATTTCACGGGAGGAAGGTTGCGTATTATTTCGATCCGGGCCATGTGTCTCCCTTCACCTAAATAACTTCCAGTAGTAATTGCCTTCACAGGGAAAGAAGATGCACTTCTCACCCTGGACCTCCTAAATATGTTCTGGAGAAGGTGCATCCGGGGTGCTCCTCAGAGGCAAGACTAAGGAATCTTTGACTTACATATTTCGGGTGTGTTGCTAGGAGAAGCCAGTTTTTGAAAAAGGACATCATGCTTGAAAATGGGGAGGGCCAACGGAAGAAAGGAACACTCTCAACGAGATGAGATGACACATGGACTAGCAATGGGCTCAGGTATGACAGAAATGATGAGGATGGCACAGAATAGGACAAGGTTCAGTTCCATTGTTCATAGATTTGCTATGAGTTACAGTCAACTCGACAGCACCTAAGAGCTCCCCAGTTGTCCAGTCTTTCCTTACTGAAGTCATCTTGCAAACAGCAGAGACTTGGCAAAGAGGTATAGAGGTGAGGGAGAGAACTATCATTAGAGAAAAGAGAGACGAGGCTTGACCTGCCAGGTCCAGTGGAGGCAGAGTGCTGTGTGGGTGTTTACCTGGGCAGGTTGTCCAGATAAGGGTCGGGCTCAAATACTTCACCAGAACAACTCTTAAGTGACTTGTCTGAGCCAGACAGACCCAGCTTATACCCAGTGTGTCTCAAAGCACGCTCAAAGCAGCCTGCATTGGCATCGTCCTTCAGCAGACACGGAAAAGCACCAACTGTACAGCATGGACCCAGACTGATCGAGAATCTCTAGCATGAGACTCTTGAATCTGGTTTGGTTTGCTTTCTCTCCCCGCACCCTCTCCCTGCAGATGATTCTGATGAAAGTGAAGCTATGAACACTTCTGTCCCCAAATTCTTCACCTGTCACTTACCTACGTACAACAGCAGAGACATGATTGAGCTACTCTGTGTCTATTTTCTCATCTGAGAATTGAGTGAACATCCTCATTTTGCAAAGCTGTTTGAAGATTTAAGAACGCTAAAGGTTAAATGTGTAATTCCCATAGTGCCTGTCACCCGGGAAAAGCTCCATCAAAGGCATTATTAGTGCTGTTTTCCTGGCACACACATAACATGTGTATTCCAATTTTAACCTGTCAAACAGAGAGGAAAGATCTGAAGCATTTACTTCAATGCAGGGGCTATGAACTTGTTGTC